AAGAGTGTAATATGAGAAGATACCCCACACCCACAAACTACCCCCACATAAACGCTCTTTCAACGTCATAATCACAGAAATAGAATACTATATTTAATAATAGCCCTCAGAAATAAACAGATAATGTATAGACTAATGTATAAACCCGATGTATCGTAGTCATCACAGTTCAAATGTCATAAAACATGAACATGCATACATATATACACATGCTTGTCTAAAATTAAACTAGAAAACTAAATATGCATGAGTAAATATGTAAAAACAGATCAATATAATATCTCATTCATTCATGTAATGGTGCATGTCTTCACTTAAGTTTGTTGTATTTCACTCTTAATTAGGGCTGAAACGATTAGTAGCCATCAGAGCTGGGTAGATTACTTACAAATTGTAATCTGATTCCAAATTACACGACAAAAAAATGTAGTTAGTAACGTAATCCATTACATTGCACATTTTAGGTAATATAATAAGAGTACTTTTTGATTACTTTTAGATTACTTTTGACCCAACTCGTTAGTCACAGTGGTTTAAATAGGATAAACTTTTACCGTATTTATATAAAAATAGAAACAGAATGAAAATTAACAAAATGAAACGCATTAATGAACTACATTAAGTCAAAGTTACCCAAACTGGGGTTCATTAAGGAACTGCAGGGGGTTCGTGAGTTTAATGAGAAGCTAATGATTAAATGTGCAATTAAAATAAATAATTTTAAGAACATCAAAATAAAATACTACAAAATGAAATATTTTATATGGTTACCTGCATTTCATGTGAATATTAACCAACGTCAGAGAACCGTGAACATGCAAATGTGATGCTTAATTATTAAAATATTTATTTTAAAATCTCAGGTGTACATCAAGTAAATATGACAAAAAAAAGTTTGGGAATCCACTATATATATATATATATATATATATATATATAGAACACTATAAGGTGTTTTAGGAGAGCTAATGTGAATAAAATCATTTATCGGAAATAAAATTTGTACTTTATTTTGTTCCATATATGACTTACAAAAGGAGATGTTAGGCAGAACGATGCATCGTTCAGTCAGAAAGTCTGTCTGTCAATATATTTGTGTGCCAAATATATTTATTTGTATTGTAAAAAATAATTTTAATAGTACAATAGTAATATAATTGTTTGACATTTGACATTCTCTTCAAAGCTGAAGTGATTACCTTGTTTTATTTATTAGTCAGAATATGTGCAACTCAGTATTTTAACTAATTGTAAAAGCAGAATAATAGAACAAAGCCTACTGACTAATGAAATAATCGTCGATTAATCGTTGTAATAATCATTAATCGATCATCAAAATAATCTCTTGTTGCAGCCCTACTCTTAATGCACTCTGTATAGCATCATTTCTAATGCATTTATTGTTGTATGTTTTAAGAGCAATCAGATTATTGCTTTTTTAATTATTTCAGCAGTTTTCAAGCCTCTTTTTATCTATATTCAAGGTCTTCGTCCTCAGACTGCTTTTGTGAGAGCTGAAATACCATAAGATACCGGGTAAGACTTAGGCCTAATTTCCATCTTACATGTATTTTAATAATCTTAAAATATCTGGGGTTTGTTTGGGTGCATGTTACATTACATCATCTTTAATGCCATTTATATGTCATGATCAGTTATTTAAATGAGATCAAATGGCAATGTGAAGCACTTCAGACTGTCTGTTTGAGAAGCGCACACAAAATTCATTTAATTTTTCAAGGAGCAGTGGACGAATCACATTTGCATGATTATGTAAAATTGGAGAGAAAGAGAAGTTGAATTAATGTTTTAGAGCAGCATATTACTGTGATTGTGCCATGTAGGTCAAATAAAACAGTGTGAAAAGAGTGTAAGATAGAGACAGACATGAAAAGAGGATCTCTGGTCTCTGAAGATCGGCTCCTGGTGGCAAAGGAAAAAAGTTTGAGTTAAGTAACTCTCAACCTGTTACTTAACAAAAACTCCATCTATTTTTATTTAAAAACTATATGATAGTGATAAATACATTTCCTTCTCCAGAGTGTGTAATTTTCCTTTCACGGTTTTGAATATCACCAACAAAGGTTAGTATTTGGACAGTTAAATCAAAATTAAAATGCCTGAACGTCATTGCATTAATTATAAGTAATCCAAACATTTTTTGTATATCTAAAAATATGTGAAAGCTAACTAATCAGAGATATAGTCATAAATCAAAACCTGAATGAGATGTCTGTGATGAAATCATGAGACATTCTTTAATCAGCATTTATACATTTACATAATGTGTTTAGTAATTAATTTTTCACTCTGCTGCATCCAGCAAAACACATTATTTATGAATATTTGTATATTGGTTAAGAAGGTAGATATATTTAAAGCCAGTAGTAACCAAACAACCCATAAAAAATACATCGTAAACCTACACATATTAGTTTCCGACTTCAGCAAAACAATCATAATAATCTTATGAAATATAATAAAGACTTCTTTTGGTGAAGACGAGTGTATTCTTATGACGAACTGTCTACATTATTCTGATGAGACAGGGCTGTGTTTGCAGATCCTACGACACGCTCGTGGCCTTCTGCAGCAGCTGGAGCATGATGGGATACACCGGGGCAAACTCCTTCCCCTGCCTGGCTCGGACAGACTGCACATATGCCTCCAGTGCTCCCCTGCAACAAAGGAAAGTCACATTTTAATTACTTTCGCTGATCAAAGAAAAGCTGCTGTTTTCTCCAGAGCACCACTAGAGGGCGCTGATGTTGCACTGAGAAATTCAGTTCTGGTCTGAACTACTGAATTATTTCCATGAGTTTTCTATGAATAGGGATTTTTAAAAATAATTTGAGAAACTTCGCACTCATAAAATGCAATTTCTAGCCAATTAAAAATTTTAGAGCTGAGCATAACCAGAAAAATGTAATTGTGTAATGTGATTTTTCTATATCTGGAAATCACAGTCAAGATCCCCACAATAATGGAGAACCTGGAAATATCATGGAAATAAATAAAATGTTTAAATGCCACAGAAATATCATGGAAATTTTCATAGTGACTATAAATATTTCTAATAGAATACATAAATATATGCATTGCATCAACTTGGAATTTTTTTAATTGGCAAGAAACTGATCTTTCTAAATGCACAGAAATGCATTTTATTTTTAAATTTTTTATTAAAATTCCCTGATATTTCCAGGTTTTCTGTGATTGTGGGAACCCTGACATTTCTAGTTTGACGGGTTAAAGAGGCGAAAACTAAACTACTAACCAAGTTAATGCAAACTGCCGTTAGTTTTCCACCAGAGGGTGTCACTGGAAAGGTTTATTGTAAAAAGCAGTGGCAATGGTGAATTGGAGTTGCAGTTTTGAGCCTTAGATCTTACCTAATAAGAGTGAGACGGTCCTTCTCTGATGGATGGTCATCCAGCCATTGAGAATAGCGAGAGATCGACCACTCCGCTCGCTGTTTATAAGGGAAAGCAGTATTAGTAGTACATAAAAGCTCTATAAATCCGCCCATGCCAAAGCAATTTTAGACAACCCTCATTTTATAAAATGGCTAAAAATATCTTCATCTTTTCCAGTCCGAGCACTCAAAATGAAATGTGTCATTTAGCAGAAGCTTTTATCTAAAGCAGCTTACAGTAGGTCAATCACAGGGACAGTCGCGATGTGGCAACTTGAGGTGAATTGCCCCACTCAAGGGCATAATAAACAGGATCTGACCTCAAAAACCTTTTGCTTGCTAACACCCGAACCTAAAACCTCAATCCTTGAGGATTTATAACCAAGAGGTTTCCATCTCTCTGCATTAGTTCGACTGTGTGTGTGTGTGTGTGTGTGTGTGTGTGCCTTTTGCTCACTAACACCCAAACCTAAAACCTCAATCCTTGAGGATCTATAACCAAGAGGTTTCCATCTCTCCGCATTAGTGCGACTGTGTGTGTGTGTGTGTGTGTGTGTGTGTACCTGATGTGGTGATTTGAGTTCAGCCGGGGCACGAGTGAACAGGAAATGCAATATGGTGCTGTATGGAATCAAATCTCCCAGCGCTTGACTGCTAGCGATGTGCTCACTGGTTTGAAACAGCAGCGGTCTGAAACAGAGACAGACAAATATATTCATATTCACCAGGAATCACAATCCGGGTGTAATTTAGAGCCTGAAATGAATGCTGAAGATTTGGAAGGTAGCTGCATATGAAAAAACGTCCAATAAAATACACCAAATGTCTGTGACATGTTAAAGTGGAGCTCAAATGACGTCCTCCAGCGGGTTCACAGCAGATATCTACTCACTGCTGGCAAGATGTGAATGATATTTCAGTAACAGAAAAAAGTCCCCGTTTCAGTCAAAACTGGGATTTATTTTTGTGCCAGTGTAGTGTTTTAATACTATAAAATATTAAGTGAAACTTATTTGAAATTATTTTAACTGCACCACTATTTTATAAATGGAAAACAATGCAAGTCTATACACACGTTATCGTTCACCAGCTGGAAATCGCACATCCAATTACTTGGGTAAGTAAAAGCCACTTCTACTCAACAAGCTGTGGTAAGTACAGATTGTTCAATATAATGAGATCGTAAAGTGAATCTTATCAAAATATGAGTCTTATTTCAAATCATTTTAATTGCATCACTATTTTCATGAATGGAAAACAATGCAAGTCTATGCATTTTATGGTTCACCAGCCAAAATGGGTACATCCGA